GCGGTTGACTTGGTAGTGTATGATGTTTTGATTAAAAAAGTAGAAAGATTCAAAATCAACATGGCACACATTAAATGGATTCTTAACTCGCTAACTGATCGTCTCAAAATGTAACTGTAAATGGGGAATCAGCATCGCGTGGGTGTGTTTCCAGAGGGGTCCCGCAGGGATCGGTTCTTGGCCCTCTGCTATTTAACATTTTTGCCAGTGACCGTGAATAAAACATCAAATCATCACTGATGAAGTTTGCAGATAACACAAAGACTGGGTGAGTGGTAAACAATGAAAAGGACAGGTCACAGATTCAGAGCAATCTGGATTGCTTGGTAAACTGGGCCCAAGAAAACAATAGGCATTTTAATACGGCTAAATGTAAATATCTACATCGAGAACAAAGAACGTCAGCCATACTTGCAGGATGAGGGACTCTCTCCTGGGAACCAGCGACTCTGAAAAAGATTTGGGGGATGTGGTGGACAATCAGCTAAACATGAGCTCCCAGTGCGACGCTGTGGCCAAAAGGGCTAATGCGTTGCATAAATGGAGGAATACGGAGTAGGAGTAGGGAGGTTATTTTACCTCTGTATTTGGCACTGATGTGACCACTGCTGGAATCCTCTGTCCAGTTCTGGTGTCCACATTTCAAGAAGGATGTTGGACTGGGTTCAGAGCCACAGGAATAATTGAAGGATTCGAATATGTGCCTTATAAGGATAGACTCAAGGACCTTAGTCTATTTAGTTTAACAAAGAGAAGGTGAAGGGGTGACTTGATTCAGTCTATAAGTAACTACCTGGGGAACAAACCTTTGATAATGGGCTCTTCAGTCTAGCAGAGAAAGGTACGTCACAATAAGCTGCATATTTTTAACAGTGAGAGTAATTAATCATTGGAACCAAAGGTCATTGTGGAGTCTCCACCCCTGACGATTTTTCAATCCGGATTAGCTGTGTTTCTAAATGATCTTTCTTAGGGATTCTGTTGAGAAGTTCCCTGGCCACGTTACACAGGACGGCAGACTAGATGGTCACAGTGATCCCTTCTGGTGTTGGAATCTATGAACAAGTGAGCTGGGGAATCTCCCAAGGACTATTTCCCTAACAGCACATGGGATCCATGATCAGAATGGGAGCAGTTTCCATGCCACCTGCTAACCCCAAACACCACTGGCAATGCCAGGGACGTGTTCTGCCCTTGGGGCACCACCTGGCCATAGAAAAGACAGCACTGCTGCCAGGTGTCAGCTACTGGGGCCTGGGCAGCTCTGGGTGCAGCATTTCAATTATTGCTAGAACCAGGCAAGGTCGAGCGGCTGATTCAAAGATTTGATGAGATGGTCTCTGATCACTTGTTAGGGCCACATGCTCGTCCCCTTAATCCTGCTGAGCAGCCACTTACTCTGGAAGTCACTGAAATCAACGGGTCGTCAGGGAGAGAAACGTAACAACCCTGCATGCTTCAGGGGACCCCATCCTGGCCGTCAGTGATTTGGGATCTTTGCTTTTGTTGCATGTTCAGTGTTTGTCATTGAACCCGCAGCAACAAATTACACAACAAACCAGACAGGAAATGATGTGGAGCAGGTAGTGAAGAAAGGGGCACAGACTGCGGGAAAGAGGGTGTCACAATCTGCAGGCCCAGAAACAACATACAGACGGCAGCACTGCCAGCCCTCAGCATGTAAAAATCATGAGTCAGGCCACAACAATCATCATAGTAGCTTAAAAATCATGTGTTAAAAATAATAACCTTTGCGTTCTTTTTCTTTGCCTTCTGGTTTCTGAGTCTTTAGGGAGCACCCATGTCATGTTTTCCAGCTTTTCGTTGCAACCATGAGCTCCGGAAATTTACTTAAAAAAATAACAAGCTGAGCTCCTCACCTAATCATAAGAAAATACCAGATTTCATGAGACTCATTGTAAAGTCAAGAGAGTTCTCAGCTCTGCTAAAGATCCCAGGAAGGGCTTGTCTGAGTTGTAGACTGGTAGTTTTAAGTACAGTGTATTATGAGAGAGCTGGTTGCAACTCCATAGCTAAGGTCAAAAGGAGCATTTCATTATGGGTCAGTCCATGGGTGGCGGGTACCATAGGCTGGAGGAGACTGTGACTCCCCGAGCAGTCAGGTGTGGCCCCTCCCACACTCTGCCCCCAGCCCCCTCCCCCTGCTCCCGCTCCGTGTGGCTGTTCCAGTCTCCCTGTGGGGTGGTCCCGGCTCGGGCCGCGCAACCCGCCCACCCGTCACTCCAGGGCTAGGGGTGGGAGGCTGTGGGTGCTCTGGGGCTGAGTGGGGGCTAGCCTGGGGCAGGGCTGGAAGGGGCGGGGCTTCAAGAGGGAGGGGTAGGGCTGGGGGCTAGCCGCCCCAGCCAGCGGTTCATGCGCCACTCATGGGTCTGTCTTCACTGCAGAGTTAACCTGGGCTCCTAGTAGGGTGTTGTCCCTAATTTCCTCCTGTCTACACACAAAACCTTCTGATGTGAGTTTAGTGGTGCTTTCAACCTGGACTTGCTGGCCGAGCTTGGGGAGAGGCTAGAGCTCGGGTGCCACTTTCACTCAGGCTGGTAACTCACTCATTTTGCAGTGAGGACACAGACTAATCACTTGAGTGCTGATGATAGTCCTCCATTGACTTCCCACAATTCCCTCCCCCATGTGCCTAGAAAGACAGACAACTTCTCCCATAATTCACTGGGAAAGAATCACAGAATGACTGTGATGGGATCCCCCGAGTGGAGCCTGGAACTGGGGTACTGCTGTGCCCCCTTAACTCTTTCCAGCCTGGGCTGTCTCTCACAGTGCTTTGCTAGTGACAAGCAGCAAACCCCTCCAGGTGCTGTGATCACTCAGCACAACAGCATGTGGAGACCTCACACCCAGCTCTATTGCATGAATGCCCCCAGAGCCACTCATGAATCACACAGAGAAAGGCACCAGCCAAATCCCCCCAGCTGCACTGTACCTCAGGGATATACCGTCTTGCACTGCTCAAGATGGGCAGTGCAAATTTATTAATCGGTTCACCACTTCCTCAATGGAAAATGGACATACACATCAAGCCTTTGTAAACCTGAGCAGATTTACCACACATTTCAGGCAAACTCACTGGTAAAGATAAACAGTAAAACAAATGTATTGACTACAAATGATAGATTTTAAGTAATATCAAGTGAGTTAGTTACCAAAATAAACTCTCAACCCTATTAGACTGGGCAACATTGAGATTAAGCAGTTTTTCTCACCCCACTGGATATTGCAGTTCCTAGTACACAGATTTCACCCTTGACATCTGGGCCAGTCCCCTCAGTTGGAGTCTTCAGAGTGTCCTTGTTGCTTGCAGCGTAGGTGGGGGCAGGAGAAAGGCCCAGCATATGGCCCCTGTGTCTGTTTTATACCCTCAGTCCATGTGCTGGGAGAACACAAGTCCAGGCATGTCTGGGGGCATTGCTGAGTCTCCAGCCAAGGTTGAGCAATTCCCCTGGTGTGGCTTCATGCAGGTGAGTCATTGCATTGTAGCTCCTTGCTGGACAAGGGCTGGTGATGGGTTGTTTCACACCCCGCCTGGGCGTTGGCTACTTTCCTTGCTGTTGCCTCTGGGGAGCTAATCTCTGGTTGATCCCCCAATTTACAGCATGTTTTAGTGACAACCATACAACACAATTCTCATAACTCCATAAGCATTAATGATACACATATATGGACAGAGAAACGACTTTCAGCTGATCATAACCTTTCCCCTCATGCCTTACAAGGCCTGCTCTATAGTCAAGATCACATTCATCTATAAATGAGGAAGATGGGGATTACAGGGCGCTCCCCCAAGGTACACAATGTCACAGCAACTCAACTCACTGCAGCACAAAGAACCATGGGATGTGCCCCCAGAAGTCCTAGCGACAGATGCAGGTGAGTGAAGCCCTGGTGAGGACCTAATTACTCAGGTATGGCTTTGCACTGTGGCTGCTAGGCAGTGGTGAGCGCTACACACAAGCAGTGCAGGACCACGAGGATGAGAAGTTCCACGATACCATTCCAGACCTTTTTTGGGGCGCTGGAATGGGGTCCTAGAGCATTCCGATGGACTCAGGCACTGGCGCTAGGCTAACGCGAGTGCTGAGACATAGGTGCCGATCACCTGAGTTAACTCTGCCGTGAAGACTTGTCTCCTCTTGATATGCACATGAGCGCACACATGCACAAACGCCCCCATGCACATATAAACACATGTGCATTCATGCACACACCCGCCCAGGAACCCGTCTATGTTTAAATAGAGCCGGTATATTGCTATCATGCTGCTCATGATCAATTTCAGCTGAGAGAAGAAAATGTTTGTAGTATTCCAGAAGTATGGGCTACATAGCTTAGAAATGATAAATACCCCCCAAAGGAGCCTTTTTCCATTTCAAATGGACCTCAGTCATTTTTTCATCCACCTCTGCTTCTCCAGTGGAACAACATGTACCCCTATCGCTTGCTTCCACTCACCCTGAACCGTGTGGTTTAACCCACCGATCCCCCCTCCAGGCACAGACCCACAATCATTCATGCCCCCATAGTTGTTGGGGACTGGTGAGGCAGTGGAATGTGCCTGTTGAACACACTCTGTGTGCAGAGGCTGAGCGTTCAGTTTGATGTGAGAATTGTTTCCCTAACTTTTGTTTGACATTTGCCTATTAGGATCCCTTGCAATCCTGCACTACAGTTCTGGAAACAAGGGGCGAATTGCTGGCCGCATGGAAACCAAGAGGAATTTTGCCATTGACTTTAGTTGAGCCAGGACTTCATTCTCCATCTCTTGAGTTCATCCCTGGTTCTAAACAGAGTTAGCAGTACTGTGTGGGCAGCACAAATGGTGCCTGCGTGTGTGGTGGGGAATGTAATGGTGCCTGCTTTGGGGGATCAGGTGGTATAAATGGTGCCAGACTAGGGTGGGGAAGTTCACTTCTCTTCCGGGTGATGTGTCAATGCCAACCCACTGTGCTTTGGGGTCCTGCAGTGTTCCAGATGACTGTGATCTTCCAGCTGATGGCTTTCTGCCTGGGTCTCCTCTCCACCCTTCTCCTGGTCATAGCCACCTGCACCGATTGCTGGATGGTTAATGCTGATGATAGCTTGGAGGTGAGCAGAAAAAGCACAGCCTTTTGCTCAGTGTTCAGTGCTGTGACTAAGGAGATACTTGAATTTAGGAAGTATCAGTCAAAGGTGTGCGGGGGGCGGGGGGGGGTTGCACTATGGCATGAACAGGGCCACAGCACATCTGCATATATTTTCATAGCTGTGTCTTACATGGAAATAGATATCAACTTAAGGTTTTTTAAATGCAAGCTTAGAATTTGAAGAATATTTCACAATGTAGCAAAAACTGTGGCGAGCTCATGAAATCACTGGACTGATGGTTCACAGCTGTAGCAAAGCAAGGCGCAGGTCAAGCCATCTCTTCCCTCCCCCTGCTCTGCCCCGTGGCTGCACCCCATGAGGCTGAAGATGACCCAAGGATGGGGCATAGCTGGGTAGATCCTACACACCATACAGTCAGCATACAGTGTTTTGCATTTAACGTTTCATATATTTTATAGGTTCATAGAGTTTAAGGCCAGAAGGGACCATTAGATCAAAGTCTGACCTTCTGCCTAGAACAAGCCAGAGAATTTTACCCAGTTACCCCTGGGTTGAGCCCAGGAACTTGTGTTGGCTAACATGTATCTTCCAGAAAAGCAGACAATCTTGCTCTGAAGACATCAAGAGACAAAAAATCCACCACTCCTCTTGGTAGTTTGTTCCAAAAGTTAACCACCCTCGCTGTTAAACACGTGTGCCTTGTTTCTAATTTAAATTTGTCTGGCTTTAACTTCCAGCCATTGATTCTTGTAACATCTTTTTCCGCTAGATTAAAAAGCCTTTAGAACCTGGCATTTTCTCCTCATGAAGATACTTATGCATCATAATCAAATCACCTCTCAAGCTTCTTTTTGATAATTTAAGCAGATTGAGCTCTCAGACTAACACTGCAAGGTATTTTTTCAGCCCTCAAATCATTTTCGTGGCTCTTTTCTGCTCTGTCTCCAGATTTGTGGCTATGCAGATTTCATATGCATCCGAAGAAGTGGACTGTAGTCCACGAAAGCTTATGCTCTAATAAATTTGTTAGTCTCTAAGGTGCCACAAGTACTCCTGTTCTTCTTTTTGCGGATACAGACTAACACGGCTGCTACTCTGAAACCTGTCTCCAGATTTGTGCCTGTGAACTACAGAGAGTTTTCAAACTGTCTCAATTGGCTGGCAGCTCATAGAATAAGAGAATATTAGGGTTGGAAGAGACTTCAGGAGGTCATCTAGTCCAATCCCTTGCTCAAAGCAGGACCAACCCCATCTAAATCATCAAAGCCAGGGCTTTGTCAAGCCAGGCCTTAAAAACCTCTAAAGATGGAGATTCCACCACCTCCCTAGGTAACCCATTCCAGTGCTTCACCACCCTCCTGGTGAAATAGTGTTTCCTAATATCCAACCTAAACCTCCCCCACTGCAACTTGAGACCATTACTCCTTGTTCTGTCATCTGCCATCACTGAGAACAGCCGAGCTCCATCCTCTTTGGAACCCGCCTTCAGGTAGTTGAAGGCTGCTATCAAATCCCCCCTCACTCTTCTCTTCTGCAGACTAAATAACCCCAGTTCCCTCAGTCTCTTCTCGTAAGTCATGTGCCCCAGCCCCCTGATCATTTTCATTGCCCTCCGCTGGACTCGCTCAAATTTGTCCACATCCCTTCTGTAGTGGGGTGGACCAAAACTGGACGCAATACTCCAGGTGTGGCCTCACCCA